CATGAATCTGACTTTATTATTTTTCCAAATATAAAAAATTTGCTGTTGGAGTTGTATGGCAGCCACCCGAACCGGTGCAGCTATCCCATAATAATTTTTAGAGCATGTGTAAAATGTAATTGGACACATGTATACAAAATTTTATATTTATAGTTTTATTAGTTTTCGAAATATTTAAAATAAACTCTTTGAGTTGTATGGCAGCTACCCGAACCCGTTGTCCGAATTAGTCCAGTAACAGTAGGGTTCGTCCTTGGCACAAAAGAAAGAACTTGTGAAAGTTTGGTGTCGATAGCATTATTCGTTTTTGAGTTATCGTGCGATCGGACGGACGGACGGACGGACGGACGGACGGACGGACGGACGGACATGTCTAAATCGACGCAGAATTTTACGCTGAGCAAGAATATATATATATGTCCATACCGCAGATGACTCCTTCAAGTAGTTACAAACTCCATACCAAAGTTAATATACCCTTCACGAAGTGCAGGGTATAATTATGTAAAATTTTTGGAAATTTTTTTTTGATATAATGAATTATTGACGTAAAATGTCTCTATTCACTATTGCGTTACTGCATATTTAAATATATACGACAATATGAGAACATCATAAACAAAAAATATTTTTTGGGAGTATTGTGTTAATTAAAAACTAATCATATATGATTTATAAAGTAGTAAGTTGCAAAGTTACAAGTATTTATACAATACAATAAAAAAACAGAAATGTGCAGCCTAATACAAAATATATTGTTCTTAATATCTTAACCAATAATTTTCTACTAGTATTAAGAAAAGAAATTACTTAAAAAAAGAATTTAAAAAAAAGAAAGTGTTTTTTTGGGAATAACTTTTAAAATTTATCCATTGCGCCATATTTATTCAAAGCTCTTTTGTAAACTCATGAAATAATCTAATTTTTAAAGAACAACAAATTTAGCCAAATTATATGTTAAATTAATGTCAAATTAAAACAAGGTAAAGTCTATTTATATAAAATTTTCTCTTTTTTCCTTACTTCTATAATAAATTATTATAAAAAATTTTTCGTATTCTATTTCTAAAAATTTATTATAAATTCATTGATTTTCCAATACATAAGTTAATTCTGACTCCTTTTACTATAATCACAGTGTGTCGAACTAATTCGAAGAAACAAAATTACTGAACTTACTGTGTTCAATTTAACAACAAAATAATTTTCATATTAATAATTTTTGTATTTGAATTGGTATACATTCATTTACTACTTTTTATATTATCATTAACATCATCTTTGTCTTCAAACAAAAAAGAAAACACGGAGGAAAATAAAATAAAAGCCAGAACATTTAAATGAACTATCATAAGAGGCTGGATGTGATAAAAATCAAAACTAAAATCAAAAGAAAACATAAGTACTAATAATGTTATTTGGATGAGGTATAAAATTTTCAAACGTTATTCGAAATCTATAAATAAGGAAAAAAAATTTTTTTTGGTTATTCGAAGTTTTAAAGGCTATTCTATATAAAGCACACGGGTATAGAGGAAAATCGATTCCGACGACGCTAAACAAATCACATTTCAAAAAGAAAGAAAAATATTTGCACTTTTACTGCTTCTTTGACTCTACTTTATTTTTATACTTCAAACCTGCACAGAATGTTTCATTTGAAAATTTTTTAAATCTAGAATTGACAATTTGAGCAATCTGAAACACGATAATCAATAAATTTTTAAATAATGGAAACAAGTTATGTAATACAAGGTTATTTGTGTGTTCACTCTTACATGTTTATATAGAAAAAAAATTTTTAATTACAACGCAATAATTTTATATAACAAGTTTTACATAACCAACTTTTTAAATAAACGAACGAAGATAAAGTTTTAAATAATTCGATAAAACAAAATCGAATAGTCGGTTAAAAATGAAATTAGCTTAACTCTTCCAATTTTATTGCACTCTCAATTGTTTATTATAATATATTTTTGTAGTACATTTTCCCATGGTCCATATATAACATAAAATAATTTTCCATCGCAGCAGTTGCAAATATTCCACATGAATATCAGAACAGGACTATAATACAATGTTTTTTTAGTGTTTTCTTCAACTTACATAAGTGATACATCCCGTACGAAAATATTCAAAATATATGATTTTTCGAATTTCTTCTTATTTAATTTTTTATAAAGTTTTTTTGGTCATATTGCCTTCCTGCTACTGATTTTTTTTCTTTTTTTTTCGCAAATTAAAAAATTATTGTTTTTTTTATAAATGCATGCACATAAACATACATACAATTCGTTGAAGTATAACTCTTCCTCTATAACTCTTCCCTCTATCAGTTTTAGTTCGCTTAGCATTTAAAAACAAAAAAGAAAGAAATTTGAAACAGAACAAAATATGTTAAACGAGATAAAGATACAAAAAAAAAATCGCAAAAAAGTTTTTCTGCGTTGTTTTCAAATTCACACCAAATTCTCTTCAAAGCACACAAAACTAATTTTGGCTTCCAATTAATTTTATGACTTAATTAGTAAAATTTTCAATTAATTTGTATTTTTGCTGCATTTTTGGTGGATTTTTTAAATTTTACACTGATTTTTCTTTTTAGCACTTTTCCAACAAATTTTTGAAAAATGTGCTTATTAGTTTCACTCTGCCGTTCGTGGGTATGTTTAAAAAACTTCTATACTCTTCAAGATAGTAATCTGAAATTTTATATGTACATGGATCTTTATTAGAAACACAAAGTTTTTAATAACCTCCTCACCTCTAAAAATTATACCCCCCCCCCCCCCCCCCAAATGTCTAAAAATCCACTTTTTTAACTGTTTATTGAATGGAAACCATAAGCACTTTTCAAATTTTACAGACACGGCAAAGCAGTCGCTTACTTTTTCTACCACACCAAACATAATTTGAACTTGACCGTTAAAAGCAATGACCGTTAGAATTTACTGTTATTTAAAATCCGTTTTTTCCAAATGTTTGATGTCGTAATTTTTTTAGACCCTAGTTTGTAAAAGTTTGAAATTATTTAACAGTTTATTTTGTTAGAAGAATATTTTTTTCCACCTCCAACTCCTTTCAAGTTATTGTCTCTCGAAATTTGTAAAATTTAAGTTTTTGTCATCTTATATTTCCGAAGCTAAAATCTTTTTCAAATTTCTATAAATGCACAAAGCTAACCTTTTTGCTTTTTTAAAAGTTTAGCCTCTTTAAATTTTTTTCAAAGACCTTTATTTCAATGACAGCATAAATCGTTTCCTTTTTTGCAAACGCAGAAAAGCAGTGGGTTGCTTTTTCTATCGTGGCGTACTATATTTAAACTTTAGTACAAAATGACCGCTAAAATTTATCGCTGTCTAAAATCCGTTTTTTCCAAAATTTTGATGTCGTTCTTCTTCTAGACCCCATTTTGTAGAAGCCTGAACTTTTAGCAGCTTTTAGATTCTAATAAATAGTTTATTTCGTTAGAAGAAAATTTTTTTCCATATCCACCCCCTCTTAACTTATCGCCTCTTAAAATTTGTAAAATTTGAATTTTTTACGCTTTATATTTCCGAAACAGCAAGCTTTTTCAAATTTATAAAAACGCAAAAAGCTAACAGTAAATTCTGTGACATTAAAAAAATATAATTTTTTTTCTTAACTCATGCAATTAACCCTTAAAATCGAGCATTATGTTAAGCCCTCTTTAAATTAATTTTTGCTTTATTTCAAAGACTGCATAAATCGTCATCCTCACTATATGCAGTCCTATAAATAGTTTCGTATATGAATGAAAATATTTTTAATAGTGTGGTAGATATACTAGACTGTGTTTAAAAGCAGTATTTTCACGAATTGTTGAAGGGAAAAGTGCTACAATACAAACCATTGGTTTGACCCAATTTTATTTCTAGTAGTGGTTTATAGTAGGTATAGTGTTTTTAAAAACAGTATTTTCGCTTGTTAAGGGGAAAAGTGCTACGACACAAACCATTGGTTTGACCCAACTTTATTAATATTTACTTACTATTTTCTTTCGAATCAGTGTTTTTCAACAATTGATAAAATTAATATGAAGATCAAGTATAAGCCATACTTGAAAAAAAAAATTCTTAATAAGTTAAATAAGTTATAGTTAAATAACTAAGAAAAATAAAATTTTGCGTACATATTTTTTCTCTAAATTTGAGCTTTAAAACATTCTAATACTCGTAAAGTTGGGTCAAACCAATGGTTTGTAGTGTAGCACTTTTCCTTCAACAAGTTAAAATACTGCTTTTAAAAACAATTTTTACGGTTTTTTTGGTTAAAAATTTTGTTGTACGAAAATAAATAATAAAGATCTATGTACATATCTATGTAGGGACGCGCGGAGAGAGAAATTTAAACTAATAAGCCCTTTTTTCAAAACTTTTTAAAGAGTGCTAAAAATAAGGGCCAAAAAGAGAAATGTTTCGATTTCTTTTGTTCATCTGAACCAATTTTATCACCCATTGAATCTAAAATTATACACCCCGTATAAAAATACCAAAACTTCAAGTAACTTTATCGAAATTCCAAGTATATAAAAAGATCTCCATACAAATAAACATTAGAGTAATTCAAAATAGTAAACTAGGGATTAAATAAGACGTACTTATTCTCTTAGTACTTTATATAGCTGGTGTACTTGGAATATATTCAAATGATTAGAACCATATTGTTAAACTTTAATTAGCCATATTTAATATCTCACTATTTGAATTACGTTTTTTAGTTACACTGTCAAATCAAAAGACTTATGTTTTTTCATTAAATATGATAATTTTTTTCAATTAAGTTACACAATTTTTCTCTTTCCAATTTTTTTTTTCAAAATATCAACGAAAATTCTTACTCTCCAAAATTTAGTGAATGGTTGAATAAATTTGAATACTTCATTAAACTTAATATTGTATATTTTGGGGACACTCTTCGTACTTCAAAATGAGGTTTTAATAATATATTTTGATATTTAATCAATTTTATCTTACCCGAAGTAAAGAAGGAGTGAGATACATAATTAGGATCTGGTTTGTTCTGCTATTTTACAATTTTATTGATAATGCTGTTTCATTATAGCCCTTGTCGCCATTTTTTTAAAATACTTGATGACACAGAGTACAATCTTAAAAAAATCTCTTTGAACCAGAATGTAAGCTAAACAATGTAAAATGAGAAATTGAAATTTGAAAATCTATGGAATATTTTTATTAGGAAAAATATTTTGTTTAAATTAAATCTTTTTAAAAAGTTATTCAAATTTATATTAAATTTGCTTTATCTCATAATTTTTATTGTTCCTTATTTCGGAACCTTTTTAACTTTCATAATTATTGATTTTTAACTTTTTATTGAGAAGCTCACAGAACTTTAATTATCAGAAAAATCTATTACAGCTAGTTATTTGCAACTTCCGAAATTAAGATTTTCGGCTTTTTACTTTGTTGTGTTAGTTATAATGGCAAGAAAATAATATTTCATGATTTTTGCATTTGACTAAGTTTTTTAATAAATTTTAAAATTGTTATTTAAAGGCGAAGATTCATTTCAATCAAACAAGGCATAATACAATCATAATAATTGTATTATAAAAACTACTAAGTCGACATTTTTAAAATGCTATTGTCAAAAATTATTGCAAACAATTATAACTTTTCTTGACCTCGGTAGGGATCACGGACCAATCCTTCTTAAGCCTAAAATAATTTACAGTATTACATTATTTACCCAGCTGTTGCTTAGTCGTATGAGATTTCTAGAGAGATCGCAAAGCAATGACTTCAATCGAACACTACCTATAGTCCCATTTAGAATTACAGCTTTATATTCGAGCAATAACTGCTTCGTCATAATAGTCTTCTAGCAGACTTTGCTCACATCTGCACTTAAAGCAGATCTTGCCTTCTATCTGATATTGTGAATTCACATCTCACTTAGACTAAGAAATTACAATATAAATAGTGAAGGCGCTAGTTATTAAACAAAAATCTAGAAAAACTTAATAATACAACAATTAATGTAATACAACAATTTTTTCACATTTGAAAAAAATATTTTGGTATACTAGACATATTTTGGTATACTAGACATATGTTCTTGAGTGACTTGCTGTTTGATCAGACTATTAAAACTATTTTTACCGACCGTATTGTGTAAACAATAGGTAGGTTATGTGATGGCAACAAATTTTGCATATCGAGTTTTCGGTGGGAACGTACTTCTCCATAGTAGGGAAGTGTAAATAAACTATTTTTAGCAACCTGTCGGTCTGTCGGTCTGTCGGTCTGTCGGTCTGTCGGTCTGTCGGTCTGTCGGTCTGTGTGTGCACGCGTGTATCTCAAGTTCGGCTGAACCGATTTTGATGAAATTTTATATGTAAGTTTGTTTCCACCATGGCACGGATCGATCAACTTTTGGTGTATATCAGGCCTCGGGAACTGCACTTTTTAGCGGGCCTGTTTTACATTTTTGAACATTTTGAAGAAAATATTCAACCGATTTACTTGAAATTTTATATATAAGCTCAGCTCGACCATCCTCAAAAATTCGTATGTTTTGGAAGAAATCAGGCATCGGCAACTAGACGTTTACTACGGGCCAAATATACATTTTTGTGTATATAAAGAGAAATAATCAACCGATTTCATTAAAATTTAATATATGAACTCCTCGTATTAAAATAATGAACATATAAATTTTTCGGAAAGATCAGAGCTCGAAAACGGATTTGCGGGCCGATTTTACATTTTTCACCATTTTGAAGAAAGTATTCAACCGATTTACTTGAAATTTCATATATAAGCTTTACTTGATCATACGCAAAAATTCCTAACTTTTGGAAGAAATCAGGCATCAGCAACTGGGCGTTTACTACGGGCCAAATATACATTTTTGTGTATATAAAGAGAAATAATCAACCGATTTCATTGAAATTTAATATATGAATTCCTCATATTAAAGCAATGACCATATAACTTTTTTGGAAAGATCAGGGCTCGAGAACTGATTTGCGGGCCGATTTTACATTTTTCACCATATCCACAGAACAAATTGATGGAATTTCTTGAAATTTGATATTTGAGTTCTGGTTGTTACCGAAACTAACTGGCGAACATTTCAGGGAATTCGGGTAGCACAAAGCGAAACTCTACTAAGAGCCAAATTATATTTTTCTAAGTATGTTAACTATAAGCTTACTAATGTCCTAAAAATTGGAAAGAAGTATTTAACAGACATTTTTATAATATTCTGTAACACTTTCATTTAACTAGACAATACACAATGCGGTCGGTTATGTGCTGACCACATCAGATTTTTTTTTGTAGTCTTTGGGTTCGTTATTCATTTTTTATATTTTTTTTGTTGATGCTTTTTGAAATTTATTAGATTCTTTTTTTATAAGATTTTAATGTATTTTCCAACTTGACGCTTCTCACTCATGTCTTTTAAATACATAGCTTTGTATTTATGTACATACATATATCCATGAATGAATGTTCATGATTTTTATTATGGTGGTATTTTAAAATATCGAAAATTTATTGTGAGGTTAATTTAATCTTTACTCGTAGATATTCGTAATTTTTAACTATACTTTAACAATTTGGTTTTTGTGTTTTATTTTTTTATTATTTTTTTCTAACTATTTTCAATAATTCTTTATTTGATTTTAATAACTTCTTTTTTTTAAGTCTTAGAGTTTGTTATCGACCGCATTGCTTACAATGCAAGAAATTTCGTATATCGAATTTTCGGTGCAAATGCACCTCGCCATACTTGTAAATAAATAATTTTCAGTGAGATGTCCGTCTATTGGTTTGTCCGAAAAAGGTTTGTGAATATCTACCTGACTGAACCAATTATGATGAAAATGTACATCTGAATTTACATTGAGAATAATATAGTTTTATCAATTTTTAGAATATGTCAGGTCTCCGGAACATTTATCATTTTTCATCATTTTTAATAAAATATTTAACAGATTAACTTGAAATTTTATATATAAGCTTCCTTTAACCATATGAGGCGAATTACATAAACTAGGAAGCGAATTTTAATTTTTTGCAAAGAACTCGTTGACGGAATTTCTTGAAATTTAAAATTTGTGTTCTCTCTGTTAACGGACAAATTTTTCAAAAAAATTGGATGGCATATCCAGACATCTTTCTAGGTATGTTAATTAAAAATTTACTGGCGCCACTAAAATTTGTTTAAAGGACATTTTCATAATCTTGCGCAACATTTTACCTAAACTAGACAATAGACCTAACTGACATCGATTGTGTGGTGACCACATCTGATTTTTTGTTTTTTTTGCTTTAATATTTTTAATATAAAGCAAAAGAAAAATGTATAACAAATATTCAATTACACATATTTATACACATATAAGAAAACTTTGAAATAAAACGAGAAAAAATAAAGTTGACCGTGTCAACTCTGTGATACCCGTACGAATCTGTTATCCTATGTGCGAATAAAAATGCCATAACTGACCATAGTCAGTTATGCCCCATAGGGCAGACTATGATTTTAAGTTGCCGTATTACCACATTAATTTATGCAAAATTTCAGTACTTTTCAATATATTCTAAGACATGGCCAAACTACTATTAAAGTTGTATGGCTGCTACCACAACGAGTGAAAAAATTTCAATGATTTTTATCATACATAATAGCCCTAATAATACACTTGTTTTAGACGAGATTTCTTTATTATACTTAATTCCAATAATTTCCGAAATAACGCCAAATAACTTTTGAAGTTGTATGGCTGCTACCAAAAGGAACCAAGCAATTTCAACGACTTTTATCAAGCACATTGACCCTACTAATATATTTAGGTGTACTAAATTTCAATGCCACAACTTTTATAGTTTCTAAGATATAGTCAAATAAATTTTGAAGTTGTATAGCAGATACAACTTGAAATTATGGAGTTGTATAAATTTAATGAAATTAGCTCAATTAGTTCTTGAGTTATCGTTGGGACGGACACACGGACCAACAGACGGACAGACAAAGCTAAATCGACTCAGAATTCGACGCAAAAGCATACACTTGAGTCTGTATCTCATACCATTATATCTTAGCGTTACAAACGGTAAGGCAAATTTAGTATACCGTTCGAACATACGTTCGTACGAGTATAATTAACAAAAGTGGTAGTAAATTTAAATAAGAAGGAAAAGTTCATGTTCATAAAAAATTTTCTGAAAATAATAAAATAACTACTCGCTCTCAATGAAAACTTACTTATAAGAAAAAAAAATTGACCATCCAATTTTTAATCTTTTTTCCTTATTTTAAATCTTTGGTCATTTGACAATCTTATTTTTGAGTCATCTTTATTATAAAGTGGAACACGTTTAATATCATAACATAGAAAAATGTCCAAGAATTTGTGATTTCAGCGGGTTATGAAATTAAGCGACGCTCGAATAAATTTACAGCATTTGAAATCAAGAAAACTTATTAAATATTTTTATGTACTTGCTTTGAAAACAGCTGAAAATGTTTTTATATGGCAAATATTTAAACAGGAAGAAAAAAAGAAATAAAAGAAATCTTTCAGCTTAATTGTGTTTCTCACTTTTCCTTCTGTTTTTTTTTATTCATTCACAATTCTTTTTTAATCAAATAAGTCTTTTTGTTCACAACATCAAATTTATACTTTTTGTTTAAAAAACTAAGAATGCTTCTTTGGATAATTTTAATTTTGTGAAATTTTGATGTCGAGAATTACGCGATTCTAAGAGAGTTTCTGTTAGGTGGGTTCGAGTATGTATGTCAAAGTTCATGCAAAGTTATGTATGTTCAAAGTTATTCAATGTAGTTTTTCCAGGAATAAGCTTAATAAAATTAGGGGGTGCGAAGTTATGAAAAAGGAGGAAAAAAAGAACAAAAGATTGAAATTAAATAAAGTTGGGTCGAACCACTGGTTTGTATAGTAGCATTTTTCCCTTCAACAAGTGAAAATACTGCTTTGCAAAGCAATCGATGTATACCTATCACACTATTAAAATTATTTTCATTCATATACGAAACTACTTCTAGG